CTAGCCCACACTTACTTAGACTGTTGGTAAGGATATGCAGATGCATGTTCACTGGATGTGTCCACTGCTATTTGTTGCTGCTGACCACTGGTGTCCTGGGATGAAGGTGCCACTGTCTGGGGAGAGGTATCAGCAACAACACCCTAAGGAAGAAATTAAGAACATAAAATCCTTATTGGCTTCAACAAAGAGCCTAGACTGTAGAGATGGACTGTACTTGGCTAGAGTAAAATTGCATTCTACAAAAATTGCAATTTTACTCTACTTGGCTAGAGTAAAATTGCATTCTGCTATGTGAAGCCACACAATAAGCACTCAAAGGAAAAGTACAGAGCATATTTGGATAAGAGCTGAGAAACTCACCTCACTGTGCAACCAAGAAGCCTTGCCATCAGAAATCCTTGGAGCAAATGGTCATAAAATCATATTGCCCATACTTAGAACTTTTAAACCATACTTGTATACCACAGAAAATATAATTTATTAATAAAAAATTCATGCAGGATTCCTATAAAAATTGTATATGCAAGCATTTTCCTGGGGGTAACGCATTGTACCATGTCTATATGATCTGGCAAAACAATGAACTCTGACCTTAATAAAAATCTACATCAAAGTTTGAAATTCCTTTCAAAAGATATTGCTAACTAGGTTTTTCCTTTATCAATTTGATTTGTTTTATTTTGTTTTGTTTTCTACAACATAAACTGGAATTCATTTAGAGGTTTCAGAAAAAGAAATAAGTTATCCTCCAGTTTGATTTGTTCCTCCCCGTACCCTTTCACTCTTTTGTTCCTCACAGATACCGAGAATGAACTTCTAGAATTGGTCATCATTAGAGGAATATGTTTGGCTCCCAGAGAGGCATAGGTGGTTTTATTTGGTAGTTAGTAGTCCTAAAGAAGGCATCTATCTAAATATATAATCTACTGGTTTTACTTACAGCCTTGGACACCTGCGGTGATATTGGGTTTCAAAGGTCTTTGGTCAACTCTCTGTCACTGACTAAAGTTCCCTGAAATTGTTCCTTAGAATTTAAAAATTCTGCCTGTATAATTCAATCTCCACCTCCCCCCACCCCCAATATACTATTTGATATTATGCACTTTTCTGAACCTCCCACCAGCATTTACTTGTATGAATACTGGTGAATTTTTAATGAGTGTTTCTACATAGAAAAAGAATAGATGTTTTCCTTATAAGCTTAAATTCAAGATAACATATCAGAGTGTACTTACATTTTTCTTAGTGGAAGATTTCTTTTAAAATCCCAGATTTAACTTTAGTTAGACTGTTTCAAATAAGCCACACAATCAAATGTGTCTCATGCATCTCATTATCTTAGAGTCATCAAAATGCTCAAATTCTATAGATAAGCATATACCTTTGGTGTTGAGATAGAAAAATGCAAGTATGTGGAAGACATTTATGTTTAAAGTACCTAGAATGACCACATTCACAATTTTCTCATAGCCTAAATGCTTTTTGATAGCTACATATAACAAATGTGTTCTAATCACAAATTCTTAAAATTCTGAAGTTTATTAAAATCGGATTAATACTGACACATTCTTTGGGGGCGACAGGTCTGGAACACATAATAGATTTGAAAATTGGACCTCTGTGGTTTGCTAAATTACATGATAGTGTCCTCTTAAACTACTGTTTTTTTAAACCTTAGTAGCAGCAATAATTTGTCAAACATCAAATGGACAGATGGACAAAGAAGATGTGGTATATGTACGAAATGGAATACTACTCAGTCATAAAAAATGAAATATTGCCATTTGTGACAACATGAATTTTGAGGGTACTATGCTAAGTGAAATAAGTCAGACAGAAAAGGACAAAAACCACGTGATTTTACTCATATGCGGAATATAGAACAAAAAAGAAATAAACGAACAAATAAAACAAAAACAAACTCATAGATACAGACAATAGATCGGGGGTTATCGAGGAGACGTGGAGTTGAAGGAGGGCAAAACAGGTAAAGGGCATCAATCATGCGGTGATGATGGAAACTAGATTTTTGATGGTGAACGCCATGTAGTATATACAGACATTGAATTACAATGTTGCATAACTAAAACTCGCATACTGTTATAAACCAATGTTACCTCAATAAAAAATGCAAATTCTGATTCACTAGGTCCGGGTCGTGTCTGAGAGTTTGCATCTCTAACAAGTTCCCCAGTGATGCTGATGATGCTGGTTCAGTGACCATTCATTGAGTAACAAGGCACTAGAGAACTAGCTTATTCAGATAATTGCAAACTTCCCTCCCCCCCATTTTATGAGTGTATCCATGGTTAACATGTGATGGGGTAGTGACTTGGTCTCTGATCTTTTCTCTACATATGAAAATGACAATTCTCTTATACCTTTATAGCAAATTAGTTTATTTTATGTGCAAAGCAAAACAGGCATGTCCAAGTAAAAGCACATACTTTCATATACTGCTCTTGAAATTTCAAATTTTAGATCAGCACAAAAATCACACGATTCCTTGGGTTACAGGGAACCACAGTACGTGCAGTTGAGATTTATCTCTTCTACTCTCTTTCTATAAGACAGAGACAAACTTACTTCAATAGAAACAGCTGTCGGAGGCACAGGCGTGTACTGGGGAATGTAGGTCCCTTGCATAGGAGCGGCAGCAGTCATATACTAGAGGGAATGAAAGAAAAATGCAGGTGAACTTGGGATTGCAACCAAGGAAAAAAGCAGATATCACACGAGACTGCCATAGACATGTAGCCCATGGCCAGTGCATGATTAAAGTTAAACTCTATTTTGACCAAAAATAAGGCAGTTCCTTCCTATCAGCATGGAATGCCCTTGCTTACTGATTCAGTATCAACAGCAGCCCACCTCCACAGTATCAGTACAAGTTAATTGACCGCCATCTCCTCACTTTGTCTTTTGAAACATTCTATATCAGAGCTCAAACATTTCACTTCCATATCTAAAACATAAACTCCATGAGGACAGGGATGATGTCTGTTTTTTTTTTTCTCCATTTTATTGCCAGTACCTATCACATAGTAGGCTCTCAACAAATTATTTGTTGAATGAATGAATCATATTATTAATACTAAATTCTTGTCTAAATAAAAGTAATGGAGGAATAATGCAAGAAACACTTATGCAGCAACATTCAGAATTGGTAAATGCCATCATTTTGTTGTTTTCACAGCACTATGATATATACATGTGAAATACAGTGTTGCAGATAATGTCGATGTCTCCTTTGTTCACTTCCCCCATTCAACTCTCATGTCACTCTTGGTATTTCCTTTGCAACTCCTTGAATTCTCCAAATTTTCCTCATCCGGATAAACAATGAAACATTCCAATTATTTTTTTCACTAAGTTGTAGCATTAAGAAAAATATGTTTTCGAGATAACATGTAGTTTTGCAATGAAGGAAGGGAGCCCCAGAAAAATTATATGCTCGCCTACATCGATATACAGTATGACCCATTTCCTATTTCTAATACACATTCTTTTAATGAAAATGAAAAGTTCTAGTCTTTGAGAATGAAATTTTCTATAGAATCAACTATGTTTCTGACTTTCTTAACTTGATTAACATCACAAAACTTGAGAACCAGAACTATCTATTGAAGAAGACAAGGTTTCTCAATTCACAAAGGTTAGAGAAAGAATTTTTATGGAAAATCACAAGCCTCTGATTTTTTTATTCTCCTAAATTTGCTGAGTTCAAAAAATAAAGGCCATGTATAAATATGCAAAACTTAAATTACTATGTTTTTCATATCTTGGTACTTTCAGTATCCAAAAGGCATGATGATTCTGAATCAAAGGAAGTATCTGAATGGAGACTAGCTCATCAGTTGTTGTTATTCAATACTGGTGAAGAATTATAGCCATAAGGAAACTTTGGAATATATATATCGCCATCCTAAACTAAGCACTGTCCTACTGTAGCTATTTGCTAAAAATAGAGACAGCCATAATGAAATCATGCAAAATCAAACAAACTGAACTGTTGTCTGTAATCTATTTGTTGCTACTAACAACTGAGTGCAATTCATAACTATATTAAACAACCTTGTAACTTGGACCAAGAGCAATTATTTGATAGGCCTGGTGATATTACCAATTTAGCTTTATAGTTGAGAATCATCAGAGATTTCTGTGCTTTGTCTTCTACTCTCACAGCATTCATCACTCTTCTATTAAAATTGTCCAGACTATCATCTCTTTAAAGGCATGGGCCATTTTACTTGTTTTTGCATCTTCCAACACACTATACAATGCCTAATTCTCAATAAGTTATTGTTCAATGGCTGAATAAAAGGATATGAGAAGAAAGTCTTCCATTTCTAATTACAAATCTTGCATGCCTCCTAGCCGGAATTAATAATTATAATGAATAATTGGTAATTCTGAGTTCATTATAGATATTAATTTCACCACCCCCATAATGTGTTTATGTAATGTTAAAATAAGTACTTTAGCCAACTCATGTCCTTATGTCCTTAAGTAGTTAATAGGTATTCAGGTATCTTATTGATATCGGTTTTTAAAATAAGTACAGAACTCCAGAGTCACTTTTCAGCAAATATTATCTGGCATCTAGAACCCTATAGCAGGTGTCTGCATTGCCAAAAATAACGCTGTCAAGAGTATGTTGAGGTTAATAGTCCTCTGACCATTTCAGAAAGGTTGCTTGCCTATGTTATAGAGATTTTAAAAATCCTTTGTTTAATATTTCCTACAATGTGTTTTTTTAGAATGCTACTCACCTGAAAAGAAAACTATGTTCCAATGAATTTGAGCAAAGTTGCATAATATATTGTCTTTGAAACTGACATATAATAAAAAAAACTCTGAGAAACCATATTTTACAGGAGCCTAGTTAAAGGTGATTAAACCAGCACTTCTAAAATATTTTGTAGGACCTAATACTTTTGCTTAGAACTAACATTCTAAAGAATACTTTGGATTTTTTTTTTTAATTGAATCTCAAAAATCCTAATAGATTTGTAGCCAGTGGGAAATATAGTTACCAACTATGAAATTATCTAAGCACATAATCAATGCCATACCTGCTCCACTGTCTCTATCTCTAAGGCAGAGGTTCAGTGAACTGGATCTAGGAACACGGCTTGGGGCCACACAGAGCAATCTTCACTAGCTCACAAGAGAATCCACTGCATTCTTAGACCTCTCATGCCAAACTAGAGTTCTCAGGCTGTCTAGTTAATGAAAAGCATATTATGTAATTCTTAGCTAAGCTTATTCAAATGACTCCCAGTTATTCAAAACCTCGTCTGTGTTTTGTTCAGTAAAACTGCATCAGTAAATTTTCATGCCTCCTACAGCATTTGATGAAGTTGTAAACATGACCTAAACTGAACTGCTCATGGCATAAATTCACACTCCTTTTAAGACTAATGTGCGTTAGGCCAAATGGTTCACCCATTTTACAGATTGAGAAACTGAGACCTACATACGATGGGAATAAAGTCCAGTTCTTCTGACTCATAATACAGAACACTTTTCAGTCTATCTCATTATCTTTGAAATTAAGTAAATAAGGTCTTAATAGCTTCCTTTTGATCATTCCTGTGTAATATATATATATATATCTTGTTTTTTTTTAAATTAATGAGCTTTAATAACTCGAGTTCCATTTAAGAAATATAGAATAATATGCCTTTGATTGACATTTTATTATCATTTAGTTTCCATACATTCTTTATTTTACTTCATATTCACAATACCTAATTTTCTTCTAGGAGGGCTACCCCATGTGCTTAACTTATTTCATAACTTAACTTGCTTTTATACTGCTCTTCTGAAGAGAACCAGTAGAAATTTTATAGTATAAATGAGATCAGTTCAATTCAATGCATTACGTGTGTATCTTTTAATAAAAAAAAATCTTTCTGGCTGCTTTTTTTGTCATGGAAAACTAATAGACAGAGCTTGAGAACCTTGTTTGAAAATTAGGAATAGACATTTATTTTAAACAAGTCAATGTTATGGAGTTTTACTCCCCGTAAGACTATTATCTCTGAATAAACTTTTGCAATTAAACCCTTTTCTAGTAGACATATTTTCTAAGGTAAAGCCTCAAGAAGTGACAGCCTTGTAAAATTAGGAGCAACTGCTTACAGGAAATAGCTACAGCTCTGTGTAAGATAAACTCTCAGCTTTAGGTAATTGGTGACAAATAACTCTAAACTTTCTCTGCAAGCTCAGTTTGATTTCCTTGAGAGCACAAATACACTACAGTCAGACTTAATAATCCAGTCTGCACAAAAAATTGCTTAGATCTGGGTCCCTCGGAATCTGCTTTTGTTTTATACAGCTAGCAAATAACGTAGGACTAAGAGAAGAATCTGTGATATAAAAAAACCCTGCTCCTTTGACTTGATAAATTCCCATGGATTGCTTATTAAAACCACAACGAGAATGGATATAAATCCTTTAAGTTAATTTCTTTTACTATTTCTCAAAATCTGCCATAATTCTTTCATGAGTACAGATTATTTGCATTATTTTGATATGATGACTGATGGGAACCACATTACAATGAGATGATATAGATAAAATGAAGATACTCATACAATATTTCCCAGTATTATATAACTAAAAGTTTGACATTAATAAACAAATTTTACTTTTTGATAAACAACTTGATGATTTTACATATTCTGAAAGCACCAGATTTTCACATGTAAGTATGAAGGGACCTGAATAGCCATTTTCAAACCCACAGAATAAATTCCAGACTCCGTCACTTGTTCCAAGAAGTCTAGACACTGCATCACCAAGATAGTTACACAAAGAGGGGGTGGGGGGAATGGTGAAATTGGAGAGGAATTGTGTTTTTGTCTATTTAATTTGGGACAAACCGTTTCTGTTATGGGGAATCACTGACTATTTCCAAGAAAATAAAGAAAACTCTAAATTTTTATTTTTGGATTTACTTTCTCTTCCCCCACCAAAGTAAAACAAATCAAAAATGTTTCATATATTTCTTGCAAAGAAACTTGTCATTTTCATTATTTGTAGATCAAAGGAGGGCAAGACAGTTCCCAAGTTTCAACTGGAATTTCCTAAAATAATTTATTAAACTTGCTCATTTGAAGTTATCATGATACTATTTAGATTGTAAATTGGTGCTTCTAGCCCTTGCTATAAAATTCATGAATCTGCTTAACAAATTTCAGCAAGGAAAGCTGTCCAGGTTTTATCAAACCTAGAAAGTCAATGTGAAGGATACAGGAAAGTTTTGAAAATGAACCTCAGAAAGAAGTTGAGCAGAAAAAAATAGCAATTGTGGTAGATGATGCTAACAGCATGCAGTGTGAATTCTTTCAAGATCATCTAGTACAAAGTTTCTTCTAATAAAAGAAGTTTGTGGATAGAGGGAACAATCTAAGTAATGATTAGTCTAGGTTGGGTGAGTGGCTGAAGGAGAGGCACAGCGTTACCTCAAGTAGAGGTATTTTACAGTTTTGAGGGCCATATTTCTTGGATTTGTTGAATTGTATAATCTCAGTTGGGGATCAATACCAGAACTGGGGATGGCAAATTAGTATCATTTCACATGTTTGCTTTGACTAAGTCGTAATAATAACTACCTGGAGTGTAATTCTAAGAATGCCTTCTAAGTCTTTATGCTAATG